CTCTGACTGAAATCAAAGAAGGTAAAATCAAAAGTCAAACCAATAAATATAACTACTGATAGATGAGATCAACAATAAGACTTTCACTGCATATATATCAATCCATTGATAGCTCTATCCTAGAAAGCCATTCTAAACATAACTACTAAGGTAGTTGTACTTTAAACAACCATAATGATTTTGCTTTGTACCACTACAGTGATAGCACTACCCACAAAAACATTACAATGAATTACCACTGCAGCGATAGATGAACAACTGCAGTGATAGATCTACCACTAAAGTGATAGACACAGTATGCCACAAAAACATTCACATGGTTAACTATATCAATGTGTTGATAGACTGCAGTCAAATAAACAATACTAAATTATCCAAGAATCAACTATCACTGGAGTGGTATACTTCCGTACCATAATCAACAATTTATACCACTCCAGTGATAGACATACCACTGGAATAACATTCAACAAAAACTCAAACACTACAATTATCATTGTAGTGGTAACATTACCACAAGAAAAAAACACATCTTAGTGGGTATGAGAGAGAAAAACTAGACTGATAAGGAATAGTTAAAAAATCACAAATCTAGAAAAATCCAGGATAATGATAAACTACCAGTACACTGGTACCAATACCAGTACTCACATATGAGTATAATCATAAACTACCAGTTCACTAGTATCAATACCAGTTCTACACCAATAACCCAGATCTGGGTATGGGAGAGAGAGATAGTGGGACTGAGAGAGTTACCTCAGATTCTTCGTCGTCGTCGTCGTCGCCGGGAAGGGAAGGATGGCCAGTGTAGGAAGGGGAGACGGGTCGTCTTCTTTGCCAGGAAGGTGAGGATGATCATTGTCTTCTCCGTCGATCCCTTCACAGTGCCAAGCTTGTGGAAGGAGATGGAGAGTTACGGCAAGCTTGGCGTTGCTCGGAGAACAGCGACAGTCACTATCTAAGACATAGCCACGATGGAGGATGCGGGACAGAGCCGGAGCGAGATGTGGACTGTGACGGTGAAGAAGCGACGACGAGCAGGGGAAGAGGGAATCGAGGGAGAGAGGAGGAAACGAAAGGGAGAGAAAAAAGGGGAGAAGAAAAGGGTTTCGAATTGGGGGTGATAATCGTTTTCCCCCATATTCTTTCTCTTTTCCAATGTGGTGAGAGAAATTAATTATGTAATTAATATATAAAAAACAGGTGATTAATACTTACCATTGGATTAGATGGATGGTATCTAAGAGGGGTGTCAAAAATCAAACCCCCTTGAAAGGGTAGTCACGCTAACCGCTCCCTTGTTTTTATTCAAGCTCCACTACTTAACTTAGCTGCCGCAATTCTAACTTATCCCTACACAATTTATTACAGGATACGAATCGAGACAACTCGACCCATATGTGTATGTAATTAAATTAAAAATAATAAAATAATTGTTTTTATTAAAAAAAACAAAATGTATTATAATAAAATATAGTTAAGCTATTCAAGAAATTGATATTCTCGCTTACTAACAACTTTATTGTTGCTAAATTATAAGGCAGTAAAATAACATGTCAAGTAATCTAAGTAAAATTATATATAATTTAGACAAAAACGTGTCGAAAATGGAAGATGTCAAAAAGAGTTAGGTTGAGAAGAGTATGGTTAGTTAAAATAGATCGGATAAAATGAGTTAGGTCGAAGTTGCCATCTCTATAACAACAACAAATACTTATGGATGGATGGTTAGTTAAATTGTTATGAATTCCTTGCCATATGATGTTTACTTATATTCTCCAAGGTGGGTTATGCATGTTGAAGCAAATAGTTTCACACTACTATGCCCAAGAAAACGACAACACCAGATGTTCTCTCTCAATGATTTAGCCCCTAAATAAGTTTTTATCTCGATTATTGTTAAGATGATCCTATCAATTTTCTTATTATTTTGAGTAATTGTATTTGGCAGCAAAGAAATATTGTCCTTGAAAATCATTCGATCAATCAAATAATGTTTCAATCCGATCTTAAAAAATCAAGGATAACCTCTTTATATTATTTGTAGGATGGTAGCATCATTCTATACATCAGGCAATATAATGTATGTTCATGCCACATGTTATTTATGAAAAAAGAGGATTGTTTCCATATCACCAGAAGGGTTGATTGATTCTGATAAATTTCTTTTAAAAGTGTGCAAACAAAGGAGCCAAATCATACAAAAAAAATATACAGCTGATAAAATCGATCCGTCCAATAGGCCGGGTCCGTTATCTAGTAGTGATATGAAGAGCCGCTTGACTACCGCATTATAAAGAAGTAACAACCAATTACGGATAACCAAGATCAATAAGTAATCATTGAAGCCAAATGAGTTCACTAATCGTTGCAGCTATAACAATTAACATGATACTCACCAGGGGCGGAGCTAGGATCCAGTGGTTACTTATCTAGACTCCGAAATTTAATTATCTAGACTCCGAAATTTAATTATCGAAATTAGAAAAATATTATAAGTTCCAAAATTTCATTATCTTGTTTAAACTTTGAAATTAAAAAGTATTTGAATAAGTACAAAAGTTAAGTGATCAGTCTAAATTTTAATAAAAAATTCAACCAAAGTAGGAAAACTAAAAAAAACAATGTTGCTGCTAGGGATTGAACCAGGCATTGTTAGACTAGACCGAGACATTGTTACTCATTATTGCACGTTATTGTTATTCTACAATAGTTAACTTTTTCAGAATTTTCAAAATCCCCAATATTTTTACACGCGATCTCCAAAATACTCGGGGGGGGGGGGGGGGGGTGGTTGGTGGACGGGCCCCCTCGAGGCACAAGGTAGCTCCGCCCCTGCTAGTCACCATTGCAGTTGCAGTCAAAGTCAGAAAAGTTCTTGTATGAAAAAACAAGCCACAATTAGGGGAATGCTTGTGATAGCGAAGAAGGCGTGTAGTTGCATCCACTTGATCTTGAGTTGGATTATGGACTGCTTGATTGAGCAAACTTAGAATATAATGAATGTCTGACGAATGATAGTAAAATATGGAAAGTGATCAATCGATCAAAGATAACCAGACATATTAGAAGTCGAATAAGTGGGAAGGCACCTGATAACGATGTAATTGCACGAATTTGTGCCCCTAGTTCTTATCCGTTTGAGGGGCATAGTCGTGTATTTTTGGCCTATTTTACGCCGGGTTGTGCTATTTTGTCATGTTTCAGCTCCCAGGTGTAAAAGGGAAGGCTAAGCACGAGTTTCGGGGCATTCGGAAGTCATTTCGGTGAAACTGAGCCAAAACACGGGCACACCTAAACCAGAACACGGCCGTGTTCTGAGACCGTGCTTTTACTGCCGAGAGCTAATTCGAGTTTGGCAAACATTGGCCAAAACACGGGCAGGGCTGAGATAGAACACGGGCGTGCTTCACCAAAGCACGGCCGTGTCCTCCCAAAAGCACGGCCGTGTTTCTCCTAGTGTAATTAACACTAGCCAAAGCACGGGCGGGCTGAGGCATTACACGGCCGTGCCCTCGACCGTGCTTTGGCCACTGATGCCCTTTTAAGCAGATTTTCAGCCAAACAGAAGGGGATTCGAGTTTTAGAGAGACAGAGCGATTCCTAGAGAGAGAAAGTGACGAACAAGAGTCTCCAAGTGCCCTAGCTTGATCTTCAACACCATTGGAGGCCAGTTTGAGCTTGGAGAAGTGCCGATCAACGTCCAGAAGCAGGAATCCATCCTTCACAGTATGAATTCCGCGTCTGATTCTGCTTTTGCTTCTTTCTCCATGGAGTAGTTCTCCCATTCATCTGGGTATGGAGAACCCTAGATTTGTATGTTAGGCTTTGATTGTATGAATCCAAGTACTGATTCTATGATTTGATTATATTCGATTGAGGTTTGAATGATTGAATGACTTGAATCCTGATCAAATTCCTGTTGTTTCTGCTTTGACCTAGAATGAGAATATCTGCCAAGGTTGATAGAGCATCCTTGATTGAAGGTAGGGAGTTGGTGACTTTAGTCGAGGAGCCAACTCACTATTCTGTACCGAATTTACTTCGGTATTGGAGGTTTTGTTCGTTAGGGCCTCAATTTGTTTACTCCGGTGGAGGTTAATCGCCCGCTAGAGACTCAGATTGAGAGGGTCTGAAGACCTTTAGTCGAGACTTCAGGCTCTTTAAGAACCTTCCGCAGTATAACTATCATAGAAACTGAACTTGGTAATTACAATCCGGCTTAATTGCAGTCTAGGGGGAACCATATCCGGGTGACCTCTCTTAACCTGAATACAACTGTTTACTTGCTTTGTTAGTTTGTTAGTTTAGACTTGCATTAAAGTTTCATTGCTAGATAACAAGAATTCACTGAGTAGTCATCAAATCTAGGACCCGGGTTGATAATTAAACCCAAACCCGCTATACTACGCTTTAGGAAGTGGTTACACTTGGCCAATTCCTGGGGTGACAGTAGAAGTGAGTCAGCACCTTAATTGGTGGTTTTTGCCAATGGGTGTATCTATAGGAGATCGACTACAAGCCCAATATCATAGAGGATCTCAAGTAGGGATGGCAAATTACCCACCCATGGGTAATTATATCCAAATCCAAGTAGACCCATTGATAATGGGTTGGGTATGGGTGAAGTGCATATGAATTTGGGAGTTTATAGATGGGTTTGGGTAAGGTATGAATATTGCTTCCATAATCTAAATGGGTGTGGGTTGGATATGGATATCCATTAACTTGAGGGTGTTTTAACTACACATGCAAAAATTGGACCTATTTGTAAAACTTGAAAAGTTTAGGTACCAAATTGTAAGACCAAAAAAATTTAGGAACCAAAATTTTCCATCGATATTTTGAGGACTTATATGCAAAAAAATTAAAGTTAGGTAGTAAATATGCATATCTATTAAGTTTGGGTACCAAACTGTAATTTGTATTTGGGCATGTGTACAAACCCAAATCCATTTGATATAAACCCAACTCAACCCAAAGTAAATGGGTATGGGTACAAACCCATCAAACTCTACCCATATCCATCTATTTGGATTTCATACCCAACCCAATTGGGTTGGATAGTAAGTAACTAGGGCTGTCAACCGGTCGGTTTCGGTTTAACCGAAAACCAAGAAACCGAGACCTGATCAATGCCAACCGCCAACCGACAGTCCCTAGAGCCCCGGTTAGCCGCAAACTGACTGGCCGGTTTTCGGTTCAGGTGCGGTTTAACCGGGGCAACCGAAACATTGATGGCCGGTTCGGTTTACCTTCCTAACCGACCGACAACCGACAAAAAACCAGCACAGAATAGAATAGAAGAGAGGCAATTGGAAAGGAAGCAAGCAAAGTGGGAGAAAGAAAAAGAAGAAAAGCTAAAAAAGCAAGTGGCCGATCGTGGTCTTCGATTCCCATCTACTCAATTCCACCTCTTCTTAGCTTCATGGGATGTCTCTCCCCTTCCTCTTTTTCTTCTTTTTAACAATGGATTCACATCTTCTCTGTGTATCACACTCCTCCTCTTTTTCACAGAGCTGGGAAAAATGGATTCATCTGGCAACAACAACTTGCAATCCTCCGCCAGCGGCGGAGACGAAGAAGAGTACGATTCAAGACCAAGACCTCCTCCGCCGCCGTCGCCGTCGTCGCTGCAACTAGAACACCACCACCAACATCATCAGCAGCGGGCATCAATAAATTTCCTCAATCCGTTCTCCTCAAATCAACAAAACCCAAATCCCCTTCTCTTCTCCCACCACCAAACATCTCTATTCAACCCATCCCAAAACTTGTTCCATCCCTTCCCCAATCACCACCACCACCACCACCACCACCAACAACAACAACAACATCAATCTTCTCCGTCGCCTCCCCTTACTCCCGCCTCACCTCTTCGGCTCCTCCTCCTCCGCTCTTCACTCCGGGTTCGACTCTATGATCTACCCGCTCCGCCCCGAGCCCCACAAGCTTCACAATCACCTCCCATCATCGTCATCATTTGCCTCCTCCCATCCATCCCATACCAACAACACCTCCACCACCGCCACCGATCTCCCCTCCGCTGTCGCGACGACGATGGTGAAGGGAAAGGGCTGGTCTCTGTGACTATTAGGCGAGAAGGGGGAAGGCGAGAAGGGGGAAGTGGGGCGGCGTCGGTGGACGTAGATTGTCGACTGGTTTGGGAATTGGTAGGAGGCTGCGAGGGGCGAGGGTGGAGTTGCTTAGGGTTAGTGGGGCGACGCTTTAAGGGGAAAGGGAAGGGGTCGGTTAGCCGGTTAACCGCCGGTTTCCAACCCCGGTTAGTCGCCTAACCGGACCCCTGCTACCACCCACCGCCAACCGACCGTCCTCTTCAGAATCGGTTTTTCGGTTAGCCAAAAACTGGTCGGTTCGGTTGAAACCGTCCGGTTAACTACTAACCGATAACCGTTCTGCCAGCCCTATAAGAAACCCATGGGCATGGGCAAAGTTGTCATCCCTAATCTCAAGTATACTTGTGTGGATTAAGAGTCATGCCTCAATTCGACATGCCGCCTCGATACCAAGACAGCTTCAATGGTGAATTGTGATGAAGAAAATCCTTAACATTTTGAATGAATGAGGAATTATCAACTGCAAAAACCACATTGTCGAAGCATATTAAGGAAAAAACAAAGGATGTGGGAAGTGTTTACGAATGGAGAAACCTAGCTTTACATGAAAGTTGCAACAACATTTATGGTAGTAACATGGTTCCATGCTATGAGTAACAACGGATACAAAAGAACAACGAGAATAAAAATGTTATAAACGCACTGCTACGGATCGGGAAATAGCAGGAATCGACACAACAAGAATACGAAAGCGAGAATCGAAAACACGACACACGATTTACGTGGTTCACTAACACGATGTGTGTTAGCTACGTCCACGGGCGAGAGAGAGCCAGTTTCACTATATCAAGGAGATTACAGAGGAGTATGAGAAGTATTTATAGTACTTCTCCATGTGGGTCTAAACCTAATCCAATCTAGCAAAGGAAACGGTTACAGACCAGGCCCGGAACCCGAACCCAAATAACATTGAGCCCATCCAATTACCAGTCGTAGCGGCTGATAGTCCGATTCAAGTCACATCAACAAATCTCCACCTTGACTTGAATCCTCTTCCTCTGAAATCTCTGATGTACTCTGCTCCTTCTCCCTCTCTCCCGCCATCAATGCCCCGCAGGGCGGAGTCACCCACTGAAGACATTCAGCAAGTCCAAGCAGTGTTGGAACTTGCCATGTGGAACTCTTCACCTTAATCCTCTTCTCTGTCCTCAAGAAATGATACCTCACGTCGATGTGCTTAGTCCTCTTATGGTGGACTTGATCCTTGGCCAAGCATATTGCACTCAAACTGTCGCAATACACCACTGCCTGATCATGATGTAGACCCAGATCACCAACCAGTCCCTTCAACCATATTCCCTCCTTAGCAGCTTCTGTCAACGCCATATACTCTGCCTCAGTAGTAGACAATGTCACCGCCGACTGCAAAGTTGCCTTCCAGCTCACTACAGAACTCCGAAGAGTGAATACATGACCGGTCATCGATCTCCTCGTGTCAACATTTCCAGTATAGTCCGAGTCAGAATACCCAGACACCAAGCACTCTGTATCACTTCCGAGTCAGAATACCCAGACACCAAGCACTCTGACTGCGGTGCATAAGCTAAGGATAGATGAACATTTGAAGCACTAGGAGTATTTAAGGGCTTTGCTGAAGACATGCCAAACCTCGACAGTATCTTCTGGATGTAGCTCTTCTGTGACAAGAAAAGCTTCTTCTTCGACCTGTCCCTGTAAATCTCCATACCCAAGATCTTCTAAGCAGCTCCCAATCCTTCATCTCAAACTCAGCACTGAGAAGCCCCTTTAACTTCTGGATATCAAACTTTGACCTCGCAGCTATGAGCATATCATCCACATACAAAACAAGATAGATCATCAAAGCATCCTCCACCTTGTTGTGATACACACAACAATCATATGGACTTTTGCTATAGCCCAGCTCAAGCATATAACTGTCAAACCTATTGTACCACTGCCTCGGAGACTGCTTAAGTCCATACAAGGACTTCTTCAGCTTACAAACATAGTCTTCTTTTCCCGGAACCTCGAATCCTTCTAGCTGAGTCATGTAAATTTCTTCCTCCAACTCTCCATGTAGGAAAGTTGTCTTCACGTCTAGCTGCTCGAGCTCCAAGTCATAATGTGCCACTATTGCTAGTAGCATTCTGATCGAAGTATGTCTGACCACTGGTGAGAAAATCTCATTGTAGTCAACTCCTTCCCTTTGAGAGAATCCTCGTGCAACCACCCGAGCTTTAAATTTCATGCCCTCTTTAGAAGTGATTCCTTCCATCTTCTTGTAGATCCACTTGTTTGTAACAATCTTCCTTCCATGTGGTCGTTTGACTATCTCCCAAGTCTGATTCCTGTCATGGGCTTCCATCTCATCTCCCATTGCGGCAAGCCACTGATCAGCTTCACCACCCGAAACTGCTTCTCTATAGGATTGTGGCTCTCCTGCATCCACTTCTTCAGCAACCTGAAATGAATACGCCACCATGTCCTCGAAGCCATACCTCTGTGGAGGTACTCCTGCAGTCGCTCTCTTCGGTCTACCTGAAGCAATAGACTGTTGAGCTCTTGCACTGGACTCTGAAGTTTCTGGCTCTGCAGAGACATCCTCATCATGTTGATCTTTTCCACCTTGGTGCTCAAACTCACTCTCATTGAGAGTTTGCAGCTCCACCTGCTTATCAACATTCCTGCTACCTTCAACAACAGTAACCTTCAACATGGGGTTAAACATAGACTTCTCATCAAATATCACATTTCTACTGAGTATAACTCGATGCTCAGAAGGTGACCAAACTCGAAATCCCTTAACTCCATCTCCGTAACCCACAAATACACCCTTCTTTTCCCTTGGGTTCAGTTTACCCTCATCCACATGATAATAAACAGGACACCCAAAAACTTTCTGTGAAGAGTAATCAGCAGACTTACCATACCACACCTCATAAGGAGTCTTCAACTCAATACCTGTGTGAGGTCCACGGTTGATCAGGAAGCACGCCATGTTCGCTGCTTCTGCCCAGAATCTTCTCTCTAGTCCAGCATTAGAGAGCATGCACCGTGCTCTCTCCAACAACGTCTGGTTCATCCTTTCTGCAACGCCATTCTGCTGAGGTGTATCTCTCACAGTCCGATGACGGGCATTCCCTTCATCCTTGCAAAATTCGTTGAACTCAGAATTACAAAACTCCAGACCATTGTCTATTCGCAGCTTCTTGATCTTCTTCCCGGTCTGATTCTCCACCAATGTCTTCCACTGCTTGAACTTCGTGAAAGCCTCACTTTTCTGCTTCATCATGAAAATCCAAGTAAATCTCGAATAATCATCAATAATAGACAGAAAATACCTGCTGCCTCCAATGGATTAAACTCGTGAAGGACCCCAACAGTCGGAGTGGAGGTAATCTAGTATCCCCTTCGTCCGGTGGATACCCTTCTTGGGAAACTTGCTGCGATGTAGCTTCCCAAACACACAATGCTCGCAGAATTCCAAATTCTGCATCTTGTGCCCGCAAAGAAGATCCCTCTTCGACAGAACTTGCATCCCCCGTTCACTCATATACCCCAATCTCATGTGCCAGAGAGTGGTCATATCTTCCTGATGAACCTGAGATTATGCAACTGCAGCAGAACCAGACAACACAGACCCTTGTAATGCATACAAGGTCCCACGCTTCACGCCTTTCAGCACCTTCCTTGAACCTTTGCAGACATACACAACTCCACCTTTTCCTTTGAAACTGAAACCCTTGCTGTCGAGTAGACTCAAGGAGATCAGGTTCTTTGTCATTTGTGGAACCTGCCTGACATCATTCACGGTACAGAACGAACCATCATGTGTCCAAACCTTTATGGACCCGATTCCAACAACCTTGCAGACAGCTCCATTAGCCATGACCACGTTACCACCATCTATCTGCTCGTAGGTTGTGAAGCAATCCCTATTCGGAGACATATGGTATGAGGCTGCAGTATCCAGAAACCACACATCCCCACGATGTGTCTTCTCATCTACAGCCAAGGCGAGATCGTCTTCAGAACTGTTTTCCACTTCTGCCACGGCAACTGAACCTTGTTTCTTCTATTGCCCTCTTCTCTTGGGACAGTTGTACTTCCAATGCCCCACTTCCTTACAGTTGTGACAAGCATCACCTGGATGTGGACCAGAACCCTTGGAATTCTTGTTTGAATTCCCTTTACCAGATTTCTTCTTTCCCTTTCCACCTGTAACAGCCAAACCCGATGCCTCACCACCTGTACCAGATCCGGACGCCTTATGCCTGATCTCTCTCGTATGAAGAGCAGACATGACATCCTCCAACGACACGCTTTCTTTACCAGCAATAAAAGAATCAACGAAATTCTCATATGAACTCGGCAAAGAAACCAGCAGGATTAGGGCAGCATCCTCGTCATCAACTTGAACATCTATATTACATAGATCCAGCAAAATAGAGTTAAGCTGTTCGAGATGTTCCCTCAAAGGCGTACCTTCTTGCATCCTCAAGCTGAACAACCGTTCCTTGAGATGCAGCTTGTTGGTTAAGGACTTCGTCATATACAGACTCTCCAACTTTAACCACAAGCCCCCGACAATCTTCTCAGCAGCGACTTCAATGATGACGTCATCAGACAACGATAGCATGATGGTCGAGTGGGCCTTCTCCTCCAGGGTATTCCACTCATCATCATCGACCGCTGCCTTCTTCTGTTTCACAGACAGCGGCCCCCCACAGCCCTTGCTGTTTTAATGAAGCTTGCATCTTGATATGCCATATAGCGAAGCTGTTCTTCCCCGTGAACTTTTCGATCTTCATGTTCACCGACGTCATTCTTCTGAATCGAAAAAAACCCTAGTCTGATTTCCAGCCGCGGCTCTGATACCCCTTGTTATAAACGCGCTGCTACGGATCGGGAAATTGCAGGAATCGACACAGCAAGAATACGAAAGCGAGAATCGAAAACACGACACACGATTTACGTGGTTCACTAACACGATGTGTGTTAGCTACGTCCACGGGCGAGAGAGAGCCAGTTTCACTATATCAAGGAGATTACAGATTACAGAGGAGTATGAGAAGTATTTATAGTACTTCTCCATGTGGGTCTAAACCTAATCCAATATGGCAAAGGAAACGGTTCAGACCAGGCCCAGAACCCGAACTCAAATAACGTTGCCCCTGGACCCCACTCCCTGACCGGGCAGCGAGACCCCCGATTCACTACAACAAATTCGACCTATTTTGACGGTAGGTTTTTGTCATATTAGACCTATGTTTTGTCAGATTAGGTTTATTATGACAAATTACGTTGTCACAACGTGTTGTCATTTAATCTCCGTCAGGATAGGTCAAATATGACAAATATTTTAAATATAGTTGTCACATTTGCTGTATGATATTGTGACATATTCTTGTGTCATATTAATGGTAAGAAAGTGACGAATAGTTTTGTCACTATAAGGGTGTGGTTTGTCACATTTGGACTTTGGTTTGTCAGTTTAGC